GCAGGGGCTCGGGCCCTTTAAGGCTCCCCTGACGGGAGCAGGGGTCACCAAGGGAGGGATTAGCCATGATAAGAAAGATGTGTGCTAATGTCTTTACAAACAATTCCAAGGGCGAGGGTACGGGTGTTAACGTCTTAGAAATGGGTCTTAATGTTTCTACCCACTTCAAGCCACAGGTTTGTTACAAAACGCAGTTTGATTCCTGAAACAGACAAATAGGTCCACACAAGCCTGAGTTTCTGAACTTTGGGGGAAAATGACAGGCTCGAGGGGAGAATATGTGGTAGACCGTTTGGGAAGGCTGTACCTTCCCAGTATCTCAGCAAATGGGCTAAGGAGGAGGGCAACAAGCACCTGGGAGTTTAAGATAAAAGGAAGCTGCACTTTCTGAAACCTAGAGAGAGAATATCCCACAGGCTGATGTCCCAGTGGACTCTCTCCCTTTACTTGAATAAAGTTGCAGGACTCCTCTGTCTCCTTTATGGACACTGGCTTTTCATAGCGTGATCTTCCCTACAACCACATGTACAGAAGAGCTTCTGCCCCAAGAGACCACCTGGCTTTGAGGCCAAACCAACCTGGACATCAAAAAACACAGGCAGGCACAGAGGAAAACATCTGGCTTCGGAGCCAGCCATATCCACAGTGGAGTGGCCGACTTTTGCCTGGCAGCCGCCCCTGCACTCACGCACAGCCAGCCCAGGGTGCACCACAGGCTACGTGGGCTTAGAGTGGCGCATGACACGGGCACTGTCACCCTGCCAGCTCGAGAGAAAAGTACAGCTGCTGTCCATCACCCTCTCAGAAGGAGCTCAGGCTGTGACATCTACCTGCCAGAATCCACATCTTCTGTGCTTCCTAGAGTGGATGTGGCTCCTCAGACAGAGCTCCCATGAAACCGCACAGCCATCCAAGGCTCTGGGTGCAGGGACTGCCAAAGCCTTTCACTGGGAAGCATGGCAGTGGTGAGAACAACTGTGTTCAGTGTGGCCAAGATCTGCCCACCCTCGGGGCTCAGCTATGAGAGGATGTAGAAAGATTAAGGGGCATAAGGGAGTCTGAGAAAGACTCGTAGAACCAGGCTCTGCCCTGCCTGACAGGAACAGCCACCCCAGAATACACAGGTTCAAGGGGATCCTGTATGCTTCCTTGCCAGGTGAAAGCAGTAACTTAAAAGGAGTGGGTGGAGGCAAACCCCCTCCTTGCCCACCTTGCTTCTCCACATGCCTCTGTACAGCAGGTATGGACCTCTCCTGTGGAAGGCCAAGCAATGGATGATCAGGATGTTAGTCCATCTACATCAGAGGTGTTGCCATGGCTGTGACACCCCCAGACCATGTCCACCTTTACAAGAAAGATGGGTTACAGTTGTAGGTGACTCCTTTCTGAGGGTCCAATGTGCCACACAGACAGTCCTCTTAGAGAAGTCTGCTGCCTTCCTGGGGCCCAGGTTAAGCACAGCACTAGGACACTTCCCAGCCAGGTTCAGCTTCAGACTGTTATCCACTGCTGCTCTTCCATGTGGGTGGCAATGAAACTGCAACACACAGTCCAAGGGCAATCAAAGGAGACTTCAGGGCCTGGGGATGGTTGGTAAGGGATTCTGGAACACAGTTTCTTTCCTCTGTCCTTCCAGTTGTGGTCAGTGACATTGAAAGAGATGGACTCAGTCTGCTGAATATATGGCTTGGTGGCCGATGTCACTGCCACAATTTCAGGTTTTTTAATGCTTTTTCTAACGAAGCATGCTGCGGTTAGATGGGATCAACCTTTCCCAAAGGGAAAGAGGATCTTTGCTCAGAGCTTTGCTCACAGACAGCTGTAAACCAGTCTTGGAGGGGGACACAGATGATATCAGGCTGGCCTGTGACAAGCCGTGGGACATTGCACGGTCAGGGGGTGCAAGTGAGAGTTCTTGGCCTGTTGCTCAACATGCTGAGTGTACTGGAGCACACCTGAAGTCTTAGGGAGGTGAACTAGGGAGCCAAAAGGGAACCCCACTTCCTAAAACCACTTTGTGGCATGTGTGCCTGATCCTCATTAGTCCAACTGCACCATCCTGAGTGGGGGCTGACCTGCATTGTAGATTAGAGCAGGGATCTGCTATGTCCCCATCCTTCTCTGTGCCAGGCTGTGGGAGATGGAGCAGAAGCCAGAGATGAGCATTAAAAGCATGGTTTTGATTGCAGAGGTAACACCGAGTGGCCAGCTCAGAGCTGTTTCACAGGGCATGAGAACTCAAGGAACCTGCCACTTGGCCACTAGAACCACTGCCAGGATAGAGTAGATGGCACATAAGGGCTGCCACTGGCATGTCCCAGCTAGCCAGAAGCCCTGTACTAGCAGCTTGGAGGTAAAAGGGATCCTGGCTACCATAACCTCCCCAGCTCTGCACACAGGACACCCAGCGGGGGATGATGGGCTGCCTGCTACCAAGCAGCATAGCTGGGGCTGGGCTGGACCATATTGATTTTGGATGTGCTGGGAGAAAGGCTCAGGCACCATCCCCTATTCCTCTAGCAAAACTTTTCCATCAGCAGCAGCAAGAGCAAGAGCCTCAGCCTGCACTATCATAAATCCTGCAGATTTGGAATAATAAGCAGCACAGAAGAGGTTAAAAACTGCAAACCTGTTAGAGACAGGGAGAGTTTGAGCTGGTCAGAGAGCATGGTAATGCAGAGCATAAGAGTCTGGTCAGGGGAACCCTTTCCAACTCCCTCAAACAGAGGTCTTTCCAGGGATGATGAATCAGGAGGAGTCATGCAGACAGAACCTTCTAACACAAGCACGCTTCAAAGCTCAGCCTTTCCTTTGCTCTGCAGGCCACACAGGCACAGGTCAGTTTAGGACACATGCGTCCTGTGGAGTTCCTCAGAGGGCTGCTCACCCACCAAGAGGCAAGGGCTGGGAGGAGAGATGCAGACTGCCTTGCAAACTAACCTAGTGTTCATCTTTACAAGCTGTATGAAACAACCATCCCAGAGCACCCGCAACCCAGTGAAGAGCTGCAAGAGCTACTGCATGGAGCAGCCATCTGTGGGCAGAAAGTCGTACACGTACAAGGCCACCGACTTGGACAGGTAGGTCATGGTGCCAAACCGGCCACTTGGTGCACTGTCATACAGCAGGCTGCAGATGCCTGTCGAAGGATCCCTCTCCAGCATGTGCTCATCAGCACCCAGGGCTTTCTGGATTTTGGACAGAGAAGCAGAGAGACATCATTAGGAAAAAGGGCAATCCCGTTATCAGCTTCCATCCCAAGTATTTTCTGTTGCACTCAGTGTGACACATTGATGATGAGGAGTGGGAGGAAGACACTATTGCTTTGCTGTGCCCCATGAACACAACAGGGAAAACACACAGGGCTCTCCAAGTGGGTGAGCCTGAGCCCTGCACAGGAATGGGGAATGTAGCCAGCAGCCCTGGGTGAGGCCTGGCCCCTACCTGCTCCTCATAGAAGAGGTCATTTGCTATGTGCAAGATCTTTTCCACAGCTATGATGCCACCAATGGTGTGCACCTCCATGTCCACCAGCATGGTGAGCACTAAGATAGCTTCCACCAGCAGCTGCCTGTACTCTGGCTGGGGCACACGGTTGAGGACAGATTCCACATGCACAGCAAACTTCATTTCCCCTGGAGTCATCTGTGAGGAGGTAGAAAGAAGTGTACCTAAAGCACTGTATTACCTGCTGAACTCCTGAGCTATGCTGGGCAATCACCCAGGGTAACCAGCACACAGCAACCCATGTGCCCCATCCCGCATTCACATGAACCTCCTACCTCTCTGGTTGTTGAAGAGGGAAGAACAAAGCCCTCCACAGAGAGACCATGGCACTGCAGAACAAGAAGGAGAGATCATGGTTATGGCTTGGAGAAGCATCATGCTAAGATACATAGGTCCAGCCCATGAACTCTCTCCCACTTGAGCACTGGTGCATGCTGCCCATACACCTCAGCACCACCTCCTGACTCCATATAGCATCACTCCTTTGCCATCAGTTCAGCATCAGCCAGAGCCCCCTGCATGGGGCTCTGCTCCCTGGCTCACCATGCTGAGGATCGGCTGTGCCCAGATCACCTTCAGCTGTGGCTCCAGCCATGCATTTGTCTGCTTGATGCATGAAGCACCTGAGC